TCGCGTTTTTTCTAATTTAAGTAATATAAAATAATGTGATATATCACTGATGGGGTGTGATTGCATATTATTTGTTACGGGGGTGAAGCTGTTGAGTCAAATCCGCCTATACGTCTGTGGCGCATATGCTGATACTTCGTCGATCATTTCCAAAAATATATTTTAAAGTATAATATATAACGATAAATGGATAATCGGAATGATCAAAAATTAATCGGATCGGATCAAAAATTCTGCTTTTTTCTCACCGCGCAAGTGTTTTTTAAATATTAACATATTTCAAAAGAAAATTTTTGGTTGATGCAACCTACTCTAAAATTATTGAGTCGATCGGCTTGGAAAGGTATTTATTTGGATAGAAATACATATATATATATATATTTTTTTTACGCTAAATTTTTTTTTTTTACAGGTCCCTTCTTTGTGAAGTTTCCTGGTAAATTTTTTTTGTGCTTGTCGATTCTTTTAAATAAAATCCAATGAACTATAATTTACTTATCCTTTTCCGACGCATTACTAGGCCTACGTCATGCCCAAGCGACGAAAACTCCGATAAAAACTCAAGCAAGATCATGTACGGTTTTACCATCATTTGTCGGGTTAAAATTTTTAGTACATAACGGTAAAGATTACATACCCGTTAATATTACTGAAGAAATGGTGGGTCATAAGTTGGGCGAATTTTCTCCTACCAGGAAGAAATTTTCTTTTAGAAAAACCAAAAACAAGTGAGACGTAAGTAGGTATTATGATGAGAGGAAGTTTGTGAATTTTGTGAGGGATGGGCCGTTAGGCATAAAGAATGCAAGGGTATATTATATCTACATGTATTGTACCTCGATTATGTTTTTTTTTTCTTTGAAAGTTAAAAACGTTACCATGTTTATTATTAAATAATTATTTCAATACTATTAAGAATATACAAAAACAAAAAAAAAGAAAGAAAAAAAAATTTTTATACAAAAGAGACCAGATATCTAGATAAAGGGTAAATTTAACATGTACAAATTAAGTTTAAATAATAGGCCAACAACTTCCGATCCGATATTAATTTTTAGCCCAAATATGTTCGAGAGGAATTTCCTTTAATTGGCCGTTGGCAACCAGATCTTTGGCCTTCTTCTCGTAAGCAGCCCAAGCCTTTTCCTTTCTCCCACCATTATAAGCTCTTTTCAAGTAAAGCACCCCTTTGTCATAATCTTGTTGCACACCGAAAAGTCCATTGATAAAAACTTTGCCTAAAATGTACATTGCGTCAAGATATCTCTTATGATCTGCTGAGGACTTTAATCGTTTTATTCCTTCCTGAATTCTCTCCTCGGCACTTTTATTATTGGGATTCTTTAAGTCTGAATGTTCAAGTAAAAATTTACCATAAGTCGCTTCCCAAAGTCCATCATCCAACAAATAATCGGCACTAATCTTGTAGAATTTTTCTGCCATTTCATAATTTTGTAATTGTTCATAACAATGACCGGTCCAATACGCTGCATCATGATCAGGTGGTGATTGCTTCGATATTGGTTCCAAGATTGATAAAGCCTCCGAATAATTTGATGACTTTATAAGTGATGTAGCTTTGATAATTTGTTCTTTGCTGTTCACGAGAAGGAAGAAAAACGGTTAGACTTGTTTTTTTTTAAAAAAAAAGCAAAAAAGAAAAGGAAAAAAGAAAAGTCACTAACTCGAAATCTGTGACGGTAAATACGAATCTCAAAGTCTCCGAAGGAGAAGCCGTGGTTGATTTTGTCGATTTCTTCTTTGATTTGATGATTTTATTTTTACTGTTGCAAAAAAAAGTATAAAAAAAATAAAAATTACTTTAACAAGCTACTTTGCTTAAAATAATTTACTTTAAATGGTTAGCTCGTTACTTACAAAAAAATGATGTTTACGATGTAATAAATCGAATACTTTGATTTCTTTTTTGGTATCTCGGATTTTTTTTCATTTTGTGATGTATTTTCCAAATTTAAAGGGCATTGATCTTTCGTTGGTGTCATCGTTGGTACAAAAAAAAAAAAGATATTGACCACGCAAAAAAAATGGGGGAAGTTGAAGCAAATATATATATATATATATATATAAATATATATATATTATTTTTTGTGTGGGTAATAAAAATAGAAAAAAAAAGAGAGAGAGAAAACGCGAAACTGTTTATTATATTTATGTTATTCAAAAAAAAAAAAAAAAAATTAGGTGTTTAACCAAATCCGTTGATAAAATGATAAAAGTTTCTTTTTTCTTTTTCTCTTTGGAAAAAAAATTAAAGGTGATCTTTAATGATACGTAAATTAATCATCATTTTTTTTTCCAACCCTGATTTATATATATTTATTTGAAGAAAATTCCTTAATTAGATGTACCGTTTTTTTTTGCTTGTGTGACAAATATGATGGAATTCGATGAGAAATTATTTACGTAATGTTTCATATAGTTGGATCTAAGAATCATTACTTGTGATGGAAATCCTTAACCTTAAATCTATTTCCTTTTTGGTTGATGCACTAAATTAAAAATAGTAAAAAACTAAAAAAAATAATACAATGAAATGATACCCCATTATACCAATCACTTTGTTTCTCCTCCGAAGAAATTTTTTTTAACCAAAAGTAAACTTACCTGATTTGATGTTCCTTTCTATATGCCTAATAATAATAAAAAACAAAAAGCCGAAAATGAATAATTTATATCATATATGCACATTTATGAATAAATAAAAGATAACCATTAAAAAGCGTGAATGAAATATTTTTGAATTTTTTCACGTTTGATCCTCAACATAACATAAATAATATGACTTGTACAAAATGCAATCATACATATGAGTGCACAAACTCGGGGTCATTTGTAAATCTTAAGAGTACATCATTTTTATTTACTTCAAACCCGTAAAGTAGTTTTGAACCAATCAGCCTAAAAAAACCAAGTCACATGGCAAGTTCTAAAATTCAAACAAATTTATTTGTAATTAATTAAAAAGAAAAAAAAAAGGGAAATTTAATTAGTCGTAACAATTTAAATAGAGGGAATATCATTTAATGCATAATGTAGAATTCGAAATAATGACACATTTATGACACTACATTCATACATAAATTTAAATTACTTTTTTTGAAGTTTTTAAGTAGGCTCAAACCAACCATAAAAAAATGGTCATGCAGGAATGATGCACTTCTATTTCGTTTTTGGCGCAGTATCCCATCGCTTAGAATAATTAAGTATTTTTGGAAAATTTTCCGTTACCATTCTAGGGCCACAAAATTTCTGTTTGTCACGTGCGATTTCGACGATTCGAACTGCACGTGACCTTCGGGCGTTTTCGTTGCAATTGTTAAAAAACAATTGCGAACAAAGGAAGACCACCTGTCTTTCCTAATAAATAGGTTAAATACATTAAAAATTACTTCTACTCAATTCTTGGCTTTTTATGTGGCACACAATCTCGCATGTCTTTCAGGTCATGATTGTCAGATCGATTTAATCCTGTAGCGAGTGTGACAAAATCAATATTAGTCAATTCTCCTTCTTCAACTGGCCTATCCAAATCTGTATGTGGTCGACTGTAATCCCATTCTCGCTCTCTATCCCTATCACGATCTCCTCTATCCCTATCCCTACTCCTATCCCAATCTCTACCTCGGTTACGCGGTTGATTGCGACCACCTCCACCACCGCCCGCGCGCTTATTAATGTCTTGATTCCTAGATCTATTATCGCGATTATCACGATCTTGACGACCGCTTCCCCCCCCTCCATCGACGCCTCTTTCCAGATCACGCCAACTATCACGCCTTGTATATTTCGTATTACGCCTTGATGGAGGTCGCGGGCGATCATTATGCTGTGGCGATACCTGGGACGGTTGCTGCGATGCCTGCTTTCTTGGGGATTGTGACATTTGCTGCGATCTGGAATCAAACTGAGACCCAAATGCTTCCTGTCCTCCACCATTACCATTGCCATTACCATTATATCTTGATTGATGAGTTGATGTTCCACGTTCTCTTGGTAAATGTTGAATGCCCCCATGTGTTCCATCCTCTTCATTTTTAATCGTCTTTGTAGACTCCTCTTGTTTGATCGAAACCACCGGTGATTCTTGTTTTACTATGCTTGATGAGGATCCATTAGGTATCGTTGAATCTATTATGTATGGTTGTAGTGAACGATCATATGCTTTGAAAGTTTCTAAATCGATAAACTTTTTTTCGGTATTAATTGGAACCTGAAAAAAAAAGATAAATAAAAAATTAATTTTTCTCGAATTTTGCAGAAATTATGTTTTGATAAATACTTGCATATGTGTTTGGCGCACTTTCATCCAGTATCCATGTGTAACTGCTCAAATTAGGTTCTTCTTCTTCCTTATAATACATCGTGTCCCTTAAAATAATGATAGAAATTAATAAAAAAGTTTTTTTTTTTTTTTTTTTTTTTTTTTTTAAAAAAAAAAAAAAGATGGAATCTCCCTTACCAATCAATTATGTTTATTTTTCCAAAATTCTTATTTACCGTTAATTCTAATGATCCTTCATGTACCCTCGTTTCACTGTGATGATAAAAATCGAATTAATAAAACAAAAAATCAAATTGAATTATTTAAAACGACAAATGATTTACCCATGAGTTATCTGTACAATATCACCGCCTCGATAATGCTGCCCATTTTCCCATATAACCAAAGTGCAAACTGCTGTTTCGTCTGCAACAAGGAAACTATGAAGTTCCACTTCTTGTTGAGTCTTTAAAATACGACGGGACACTAAATTAAACAAATCAAAGCGATGATTTAATATGTATATATATAAAATAAATCTCTTTATCATAACATCTATTAATAATATACGCTTACAATGTTGAAGTATGATACATGTTATATCAAAACCACGGATCCACGGTCTCAACTCTTTGATTGTTAATGTGCCACTTTTCTGAATAGGGATAGGTTTGATGGAATTAATATTTCCATATCGCGAAATTGGTGGTGGTGGAGCTGATACGCTTGTTTCAACCGACATGATGCAAAAAAAAAAAAAGTTCCTAGATTTGTGGGTCTATTTATATGGTTTTTTTGAGATGCACGTGTAACCTATGAGTGTTTTGTTGATTGGTTGAATTAATTTAGCCTGCATTCTGTGTAACGGTGTGACATTAATCATGTGATATTTGTTTATCAATCCTTTTTTATTGTCGATTGTTTCTAAATTAAACTTAGTCAAATAAAAAAAAAGATTTTAATCATCAAAATTTTTTTTTTCGATTATTTGATCTTAATGATTTATGAGCAACTGTCGGGAAAATAAAAAAAGATTAATGCATGACAACCATATTTGGCAATTGTAAATTAGATTTTCCCGGCAGTTTCATCCTATTGCATATTATAAAAACTTAATATAAAATCCAACGTTAATAAGAAATTATATATAAAATTAATTGATTTATATTTTATATGTAATTTTTTTTATTTAATATATATAATTTAAAAAATTTTTAGTGAAAAATATGTTTAATAATTTTCAATTTTTTAAATTAATAAATAATATATTTTGATACAAATAAATATAAAATAAATTGATGTTATATAATATAAATAACATTTTTATTTCTTTTAAATTTTAATAATATAAATTAATCAAACTATTTGAATAATAAATTTATTAAAATTTATCTAATTTTAAAAATATAATTGAATAAAAAATGTAATCCATTATTATTTAATTTTATCTATTATTAATAATTAGTTTAAGAATTTATTAATTAAAATAAAAAATAAAAATATTTTATTAAATTAATATTAATAATTTAAAAAGATTGTTAATTATTTATAATTAAGAAAAAAATTACTTTTAAAATAATTAATTTTTATTTTTATTTTTAATTTTATTTAACTAATTTTCTTTATATTTTAATTATTATAAAATTTATTATATCAAAAACATATTAAAAATTTTTATATTTAAACTATTAAATTATAAAAATATTTAATTAAATAATTAAAAAAGTATTAGCTAAATATATTATATTATTAATTAATAAAAATTATTAATTAAATTTTAATTAAAATTATAAAAATTTAATTAGTATTAAATTTAAGATATATATTTAAAAAAACAAATTTTTATTAATTTACTTATTTTAATTAAAATTAATATTTTATTAAATCTATTTATTATATTTTTTTTAATATTAATAATAATTATATTTTTTTAGTTTAAAATTAAATATAATTATAATAATTTAAACAATAAATTATTTAATTATCTAATTAAAATATTTTTATATTTTAAAATTAAATAAATAAAATAAAATTCTTAATTTAAAAATTAATTTTAATTATTTATTCATTATATATATTTATTTAGTATTATTATCTAATAATAATTTATTATATATTATAATAATTAAATTTAAATTATTAAAATCTAAATTAAATGTTATATAATATATAATTTTAAATTAAGAATATTAGTATTATTTATTTATTATTATTAAAGATAGTATTTAATTATATAATATTTTAATAAATAAAATAATTAAAATTTTATTATTAAAAAAATTAAAAATAATTAATTAATTATTAAAAAGTAATAAAATAAAATATTTTATTTAATTTATATAGAATCAATAAATAAAATAAAAAAAGTTAAAAAAAATAAATTTATTTTATAGGCAATTTCTAATTATATATAAGGTATTTAAATATAATATAAAATATAAGAGATAATAAATAATATCTTTAGATAAAAATTTCTAAATTCTCAGATTAATTAATAAAATAAAATATAATAAGATATAATAATAATAGTAAATAATCAAATTATTTAATTATTTTGAAATGATCTTTGAATAACTTGATTATTTGAAATTATTTGTCATTTGATGATTTAAATATAATATAGATCAAATTTTATATGTTAGTTAGAATTATAAATTTATTTATAAAAATATTTAAAATATTAAATTACATTAATTATTTATAGTAGTTAGAGGTTAGAACCGGATTTATATTTTAAATCTGAATTAGATACAATAAATCTGGATTCCTTCGTTTCATCTGGATATAATAAATCTGGTTCCTTCGTTTCATCCGGATATAATAAATCCAGTTCCTTCGATCAATCCGGTTAATTTAAATTAATGATTTTAACTTTAAATGCT